GAGTAGAAAATAACTAATTATTTGGCTATCAAATGTCGGAAAGTCCCCCCGGAACCCCTGTAAAGTTGCCACATAAGCACATGCTGTCCTTATAAATAAGAGTGGTATAGTGATTATATAACTGTATGTAGTTTCACCTTAGCTTGTTTCAAAGCTAGCCAGCTTAAGTCTCTACACCACCGTCAAAACCTTCCTTTCTTTTCCTACCATATCTATATATATACATATACATACACATATATAAACATGTTGCAAAGGGTAGGCGCCGCTGCCATGGAAGTAAAGGGGAGAAATTTGGTGATGGTTAGAGAGTATAATGAAGAGAAAGATAAGGAAGCAGTGGAGGAGATGGAGAGACAGTGCGAAATCGGGCAACAAGGCAAGTCTACGCTCGTTACTGATCTCATGGGCGATCCTATGTGTCGTATTCGTCATTCTTCTTTACATATTATGCTGGTAAAATTCTACGTTTTAATCACTTTCCACATTAATTCTATAATAAATCTTCTATTTTGTTCGTTTTGATACTTTTAATTATTATACTCGTGCACGTGCACGAATCTATTAACATAATGAAAAATATAAATCACACGTGTGTTTATCAATTAAAAAATGTGTTAATATATTATAAGTAAATTGCGGTCATCATAATTTTAAAAGTAATTAAAATATTTAACGTATACGGGTACGCACATTTATATGCGTAGAATTGTATGATGATCGATTCGTGTTCTGAGTTTGCACAGGTGGCGGAATACGGAGAAGAAGAAAATATTGTAGGGGTGGTAAGAGGGTGTGTGAAAACCGTGACAAGAGGGAATTCAATGTATGTGAAAGTGGCATATCTTCTGGGACTAAGAGTCTCTCCTCAACACAGGTTTTTTTTTTCTCTTTATAATCTCCAGGGGTGTATTTGAAAATTACTTTTAATTTTCTGTCTCTTTGTATAATTAAATAAAATACTTTAACCGTTACTTCTTGAGAAAACGCGAAACGCACTGGTGTCGTGTCGTTTTGTGACCCCCTTTTAAAACACCCGTTAATGGAGGCTTAATCACGTTTTCCTCCGCACCCTCAACTTCCACATCTTGCATTTCCAAGTGAGAACTTAAAATTAGAAAATTAATATTTTTTTTTTTGAAGCCATAATTAGATTCCCTTTCCTCTAATCAGGGAAAGCCAACTAGATTTAGCTTATAATTAATTATAATTAAGTCTTAATTTTATATAATTTGAATTTCCATATATTAATTCCAACTTCCCACTAGCTACATAATCTCTTCATATTTCCTTTTAATCTAACTATGAGTAGTATATAATCATACTGCCGATCCATATGCCCATCATTGATTTTTAATTACTAATTAATTAATTAATTACGGATTTGGATGCAAACCCAATATTTCTCTTCTTTTTTTTAATTTAATTTAATTTAATCTAATCTAATTTGATTTAAATATATACAAGATTCATGTGTGTGTGTGTGTGTGTGTGTGTGTATATATATATATAGTGCATAGTGTTAGTGATGTCTTTAAAATGCTCCATACTTTTTTCATTTAAAAACTTATTATTACATAAAGTGCTCTACATTTTGGCATCATCATCCAAGATCTAATCAACATTCCTTTGTTAATCTCTAGGTAATTACCTCGAGCCAACCACGTTTATAAATTATTATTTTAATTCTGGAAAGTTAAAGGCAAAAACATTTTCTTAAACAAAAATTAATGCTAATTAATTAATTTATATTAATTTAATTATTATACTTTTGCAACATAAATAATGCAGGAATCTAGGGGCTGCCACAGAACTTGTGAAAAAAGTAGAAGAATGGTCCGAACAAAACGGTGCGGATTATGCATACATGGCCACCGACTGCAGCAACCACCCGTCGATCCATTTATTCACCACAAAATGCGCTTACCGCAAGTTTCGAACTCCGACGCTGCTGGTCCAACCGGTTCACGCTCACCGCAAGCGAGTCGACTCAGCCGTCGCAGTTGTCCGTCTCACTCCCAAACTCACTGAGTCAATATACCGCAGAGTTTTCGCCGACTCGGCCGAGTTCTTCCCCAAAGATATAGACAATGTGCTGGGCAGCCACCACAGCTTGGGCAGCTTCATGGCGCTGCCCAAAAAATGGTTGTCGAAGTGGGACCCGGATGACGTCAGCGTTCTTCCTCCGAGCTACGCGGTACTGAGCGTGTGGAGCATCAAGAAAGTGTTCAGGCTCCAATTAAAGGGCGCGTCTCGGATGACGCGCGGATTTTGCGCGGCTTCGAGGTGGGTGGATTCTCGACTGCCGTGGCTGAAGTTACCGTCGGTTCCCGACGTGTTTAACAAGTTTTGGGTGTACTTTTTGTACGGACTTCACATGGAAGGATCTTGTGCTTCGGGGCTCATGAAAAGTCTATGCAGCTTCGTTCATAATATGGGGATGGACGATGATGGGTGTAGGGCCATTGTGGCGGAGGTGGGCCCACGTGATCCGGTTCGTACGGTGATTCCTCATTGGAGGAAATTATCATTGGAGGAGGATCTTTGGTGTTTGAAGAAGCTGGGGGATGATGAGCCGTCTGATTGGACTAAATCACCATCGTCGAATTCTTCAGTGGTTTTTGTTGACCCTCGTGATATTTGATAGTCTTCAAAAATATATTTTTTTTTTATAGTTTATTTAAGAGTAGTTTTTAGATTTAGACTTTTACTTTAATGTATGTATAGTGGGAGGTAAAAATCTTGTTTAATTATTAGGTGAGGAAAAATTTTAGTATATAGAAGAATTAATATTATTTTAGATATTTTTATAATTGTTATTGTTGTTTTTTATTGTAAAGTTTTAGGTTATATACTAAAAGAATTTGATATGAAATTGAAATTATAAAGCTTTTTATTATGACTCATATATGCAATACTTATAATCTACTACATGTATATATAAAGTTGAGTATGTGACTTGGATTATGCAATATCATTATTGTACTTGTGAATTTAATAAGTACTTCATTTAGTATCTATTATTTTTCGACTCGAGTTAGAATATCGTTTATGCTATTTTGAGTTCAATTGTGAATTGCATATGTTATCATAGATTATATCATATTATATATATTTTTAATTAAAATTTGTATCATTATTAGTGTACGCCGGCCATTTAATTAATTAAATTTATAAATTACTTAAATAATAATTTAAAAATATTAATACATTAAGATGAATAGAAAATTTTATATTAAAAGTTGATTTAGTGATAAAATAAAAAGGGAAAATAGCAATAAAATCATTTCGATTATGTTTAATTATATATATAGTCGATGAAGTAGATTTTGATTTGATATTAATCCCACAAATGTTGATTTCTATCCTTTTAGTTTTATTACATTCAACTTGTTAATGCTAACACAAAGATATATGTGACAAGACAAGCCAAGAATCCGTTTGCTCGTTTGAGCTCATCGAGTTTTAAAGTATATTCGAGTGTAATCCGACTCAATTACATACTACAATCACGGACAATTTGAGTTTTATTCCGCTATAATCCCTTGGATTAACAAGTTACTAAGATAAAATTGATAAAGATAGTGTATGTTAGTCAATTTCATAAACTGTGTAAGATCTAGAGATATCTCATTGTCATGATTTTCTCACAATTCCATTACTTGTATTCTGAGTGGTACCTCTTTGGGACTTTATATGTATAATAATACTTTTCTTTTATGTCAAAAAAAAAAAAATCACAATCCCATTAAAATTACACTCTTGACCGACATAATAAAACATTGTAATTGCTATCAAATTGTAGCAGCATCATTCCCACCATATTTATTTATGAGATTAGATGCAGAAAATTGTTAATGGTTTTGGTGATTTAATGGTGTGTGATATACATATTGGTAAAGAGGTGAGGCCAAAAACCCTATTCGTCATCACCACACTACTTCTCCCTCTCCTTCTATATATCTCCCTCCCTGTCTGTCTTTCTCTCTCTTTCCCCCTCCCTCCCCCTCTCTCTCCCTCCCTCTTTTTTTCTCCCTCTCTCTCTCTCTCTCTCTCACTATATATATATATATATATATATATCATCCTATATCATCAAAAAGTATTCAATATGCAGACAACAAACAATTTCAGGAAACAAAAGTTGGGAGACTAACAATCACATTCAAAATACAAGCTGCTAAATTTGTTTAAAAGTCTGAGACCACTGGACTATCATCATAACAAGTCTTCAAGTAAAAACATCAATTCAGAATGTAATAACTCTATCGCAGACATATAATTTAATAACAATCACAAAAAATCTAAGCTGCAAAATAGAAAAAAAAAATTAGATAAAAAAGCAAGAAATTTTCTTACTCCGTACACTCGTGAACACAAAATTTACTGAGAGGCTCCCAACCATTTGGAGAAATTCTCAAACTCAGTGTAGTCACTGTCGCTGATCATAGTATTATACCAGGTTTTTCCAGCGGCCTTGATTGCAGCTGCCTCCTCCTGGAAGGAAATCAATGAACAAAATAAATTAACAGGAACAAATATATTAACCTACACAATTCATCACCCAGCATACAATTAAGTCATCACTCAAGTAAAAGCATGAGATACTAGAGTACAAGAATATGATCATAGGTACAAATTGAATGCACAATTGCATTACTCTTTCACAAAACAAATATTCACCAAATTAAAAACCATTCTTAAAAAGATATTCTTTCAAAGTAAAACTTTGAAAGAAACCCATTAAAGCTAACACAGTTTTTTTTAAAAAAAATAAAAAGTGTAAGGTATATATTGATATCGGAAACAAGGGGGTGGGTGACCACCCATTTACAAAAATTTACAAATCAATTAAAATGTCAATAAAATTTCCCAAATCCTCTATTGAATTAAAAGGATGACCCAGTAACTAAAACCCAAAGAGTTTGAAACCATATATTCTTAAGTAAATCAAAACCATCCACTCCTCGATCCCATCAAAAGCTTTTTTGTACCCCTCCTCCCACACAACCCAAAAGATGGTAAGTACTGAAATTTTTTTGTATTATGTTAAAGGTAACTGTTAAGACATGAAATCATCAGTACAAAACAGGGCAAACAATCAGTTCCTTAACATAACAAAAAGACATGAGATAATTCAAGCCCACCCCTCAAACAAAAGTACTAAATTGATATACATAACAATGTGATTATATAGATAGAAGTTCTTCATGCAAATCATAGCTACCCCTTCACTTAAAAAGATGCTTACTAAATCAAAACCATTCTTTAAAATATATTTATAGAATTCAAAAGAAATCCATTCAAGCTAAAAACTGAAACTTTTCCACGTTGCTATGCTCATCAAATACAAAAGCAAAAATCATTCAACCCCATCAACCGAAGAAATTGGATTAGCAACAGCCGAAACTAAATCAAGAGATAAACAATTTCAGTTCCCAAAACAAAAAAATAGAAACAATTTCAATATGCGAGACCAAACGTAAGGTCCAAATTAATATAACAATGACAGACTACAACATAATCCAGACATAGAATTCCTAGTGAGCAAAGTTATATAAAAAAGGAAAAGAAGACAGCTCAAAGTAAAGCGAGATACCTTGGTTACAGGCTTCCTCTTCTTGTCCAGCTTCTCCTTCTTAGACTTGACACGCTGGGCCTCGGCCAAAAGAGACATCCTCCTAGCTGTCTTGGCGTAAGGGTTGAGTTTGAGCATCACATTAAGGTTCTTCAGTGGGTTCTTCTTCATGGGTGCCCTCTTCACCTCCTTCTTGATCGGCTTGACTACAGACTGTACCTCGTCCGAGTTGATGATTCTTGACAAGTCAGCATTCACCATCTTAGAACGTGGCAGAACGTAACCCTTCTTGCTCTCCGATAGCTTCTCAAAGGTACCATAAATAGAATCCAGCTTCTCAAAAGCAGATTTCGTCCAGATGACGAACCTTCCCAAGTGCCCACCTGGAGCCAACTTCAGCAGATTCAACCTCTCCACATTCGCCACCTCCACTCCCGGGATGTTTCTGAAAGCCTTCACCAGCTTGGCACCTTCAGTACCATACACGATCAGAGGACCCTTGCGCGAGATATAACGACGGTTCCTCATCTTACCCTTTCCGGGACGAATGGCGTGGCTGTCCTTCGCCTTCTCAGCATCTGGGTATGCACCAATCTGCTTCAACACCTTGATAGCGGCCGAAGTCTTCTCAACCCCCTCCGCAGAATCGCTAATAACCAGAGGCATCTCCGGCACAGATTCAATCCGATGGCCGCGAGCCATCACCAACGAGGAGATCGCAGAGGCCGCAATCGCCGAAACAACTGCGTACCTCTTCTGATTCACATTGATTTTCCGATGCCACCGGCGCCAGATCTTCGTCGGAGCGAACATACGCCCACCACGGCACATGTTCCCGAACGCACCCTGTCCCGCGCGATGTGTACCGCCACCGGGAACACGGGGGATACGGGAAACGGCGCGACCCGTACCCCAGGACTCGGCCGAAGTCTGGTGACCGGCACGCTTCGACACCGCATAAGGCTGGCGGCTGTTCTTTGAGATATTAGCGTGAACGAAGTTGACGATATCTGGGCGGATGGAGGCTCTCATGACATCGGGAAGGGTTGCAGTGGCAGCTGAATCAGTAGCCATGTCACCCTCCAGGGGCTGGACGGTGACGAGAGGGCGGGATGCTGCCGCGGCCATTTTCTACCTCTCTTCTTCCTGGCTATCGAGAGGAAGAAATGCTGCCGGATAAATTTATACCCAGGGTTTCTTCAGAAGAAGAAGTATAGACCGAGGGGGAGAGATTAGGGTTTTGCTCTCTTCTTTTCTTAATTGCAAACATGACCTTCAATTTTAGCTATTTTTCAATTTAGTCCTAGCATTTAAAATTACTGCAAAACAGTCCCCGAATTTTCACTTTTTTTATTTTTCAAATCAGCTACTAATACTTTTTAATTAAATTAATTATGTCTTAAATAAACATATTTGACACGTTAACACCAGGAGTTAGTCATGTTATTAAAAAATATATATTAACATAATTATCATAAGAATTGAATTTTTATTAAAATTTTGTTGCAACAAAAAATAAGTTAAAACCAAATTTAAAGAAATAAAGAAAAAGGTTAGGGGATATTTTTGTAATTAAGCTGTTTGTTTTTTTTTTTCGGTTCTGATTCTGGTGTTTTTGCTGAACAATTTAACTTAATCTACAGTCTGTGGGTTTCTTTTGCAGGAGATTCGGCGGGTTGATCGTTTCACGGGGATATCATCATCGGCGTGATCTTCGCCGCCTGTGACACCACCGCCAGTGTTTTAACTAGGATTCTAAAGAATTTGGGGGGGAAAACCCAATTGTTCTGCAAGCCGTGACTGTAAGTATATATACATACATATATATATATATATATTTGTAGATGATTTATGTTTAGCGGGAGTGAAGTTTGATGATTTTGCAGGAAGAACAAGAAGGCATGAAGAAGAGTAAAGATAAAGATGGTGAAGAGAAAGACAGGTTGCAGAAACACTTGGGTTTTCCCTCAGATACTTGACAATTCAAGTTGAAACACTTGCGGTGGTGTCACCAGCGGCGAAGATAACGCCGATTACGTTACCGACGTCGGTTAGTCCTTCTTTTATCCCCCATGAAAGATCCAAACAAGTCATTATGATCAAGCTTCATTTGATGCCTGGTAGAGAGGATTTGGGTCAAAATCTGAGCAACCTCTTTTCTTTCTTTCTTTTTTTCTTTAGCTTGATTAAATTTCGTCTTCACCAACCATTTTCTAGCCATTCACCACCATCACAATCAAGATCTTTTTATTCATGACTCCGTCTTTCAACCTTTCTGCTACCTGGGAGTCTCAAAATGAATAAGAACTACCGTTGTACAAAAGTATGATGACCTGTTTTCCTTCCATCAAACCCCTGATCTTTGCAGTCCCCCCCAGCTAATACTCATCAATGCCTAAACGTATAATGTGGCTGTGCCTTCAGGCTCTTCTTCTGCCCGTATTACCTCCTCCGCCTCCTTTTCCTCGGGTTCTTCCGTACACTCTTCTAAGGCTACCACCAACCTTGTATCTACATTGGTGAACCGGAAAGTACGGTTTCCAACATTTAAGACAAGCATTGGTGGGTCGTTTTTTGGTCATTTGTGTGGGTAGAAGAGTTACAGTTGCATGGACAACCTGGTTATTCTTTTTTTATGGGTAGTGTTAGTGATGGTTTTTTCCACAGTGGGACATGGGGAAGAGAATAGTGTCTTGTTTTGGTGTGGAAGAAGGTTTGGGTGGAGAGATATAGGTGCTGACTGGTTTGGATTTCTGAGCTAGAGGTAATCTTTAGGCGGCTCTTTTGGAGTCCAAACATGGCTCGGACATATTGTTCTTGGAGGAGGGCCTGTTCAAAGGCTAGATTGAGGTTTTAATTAATCATGGGGCGAAGTTCTTCGTTTAACCCGCTATTGAGGCTTGAAATGCACTTTAGAATGGGGTTGTCTCTTAACATTTGGGACCTTAAAAATTTTCCAAATGCTCTTTATACTCCACCACCGAGACTTCTTGAGTGAGTTTATTAAACTCCTCGACCAGGTCAGTAGGTTCCCCAAAACTTTGGTATAGTTCTTCCACAAAATCGTCTCAACATTAGAGCTCATTGTGAGTAAGCCAACCTTGAACAGAGCGGCCAATGTTCCTTTACAACACCATGCACCTGAAAAAACTTTGGGCAGCATCTAGCCCAACCTTCTAGATTGTCCCCCTTCGAAAATGGGAACTTCTACCCTTGAAAATAGAATTTAAATTATCCCTCAGGGGATCAGAGACCATTACTACAACTTCCTACCTCCCTTTGTCTCGACGGAAAGATTTCCAGTAGTGTGCGGTTGGTGGCAGTAGGAGAAGTTACCCAGGCTTCTGGCATTGTTTGTTTGGCCAATCTGTCCACCAGCTCTGACAAGCTCTCAGTTCTTGCTTCAAGTTCCGCTTGGCTCTGGAGCTGTTTTTCTTTCAGTTGTTGCCACATGCCGAAACTAGAGTTGAGCCTGGGTTTTGTCACTCTGACTCATGGATGTCATCAGTGATTCATTGCGTAGTTTCACAACCCTCTGTCATAAACTCCTTAAACTTTTGGTCGTAGCCTCTCGTGGAGTCTTCCATGTGCTGAAGGTATTTGTTATCATTCTTTGTGGCCTTACCACGAGCCACAACTGCCTGGGAGATAAGGGTATCCTCAGAATTGGAGAGCTCTGATACTAAGTTGTAAAGAGCCTTGGACTTAGACATAGACAATAGAGAGAATTTTGAGAGAGAGAGAGAGAGAGAGAGAGTACATAATCCAAAGAGGAGGACATAATCCAAAGAGGAGGCAGATAAATCAAGGAGATTTTATAAAAGATTTGAGTAGGGTATAGAAGAGTAGAAGAAACTAAGAGAAATAGAATTTCCAGAATAATCCTTTCTGGATAATGAAGGATTTCGTTCAAAAATCATGCATAAATTTCCATTCTATTTCTTGACAGTACTGTCCTATTTCTACTACCAATTTGCAGAAAACAGTACACAGTATAGAATATTTCTGAAATTAAGGACATAACTGTAAGGGGAAAGTGGATATGTAACTAATCTCGTATTTAGGCTAATGACTACTACTATGGCATATCTTCAAGGGGTTTTCCATTGGGAGGTGGTCGCCTCCGGTAAACCTTCATTGGTTTCACTAGTGGGGGGTTCTGCATCTGCAACCTTGTAGGGAAGGTTGGTCCTAACAATAAGTTGGAAGATTGTTTCGGGCCAAAGGGTGAGTTTTTGGTCAGACAAATGGCATGGAAATGGAATTCTTGAACAAAGTCTTCCACCAATTTTCTCCGTAGCAAGGAACAAAGAAGCAACAGTTGAATAGTCTTGTTCATATGACAGGGCTAACGGATCTTGGATGGTCGAATTGGTTAGAAACATAAACGATGGGGAATAATGAATTTTTGGGCACGCAGAAAGACCAAATGAAGCATCGGATGAGCCATTTAGAAACCTAGTTCAAAAGCGGTTCTTTTAGTAAAATCCTATTATCTCTATTCCACAAAGGCCGAAAGAGTTGAGGTGAACTTTCCATGGAAACTGATTTGGGAAATCAAAGCTTCACCTAGAGTAGAGTAGCCTTTTCTTGCATGGGAGTGAAGTTATATCTAAACTCTGGAGCATCTCAAAGAAAAAAAAAAGAAAAGAAAAAGTTTTGGTTAACAGATGTTATTTGTGTTAAGAAAGATGCGAAGACAGGAAACTATCCTCTATGGTGTCCTTCGGCTTATGGGCTTTGATGAACTGTGCTATTTGGCCACTTGTAGACCTTGGATGTTAGCAACTCCACAAGTGGCGAAATAACATCTTATGCCAAGGTGTAATAGAAGAAGGAAGAAGAATTCTGAAATGAATAATTAATTATATATGCATTAAAAGTATTCTAGTTGTAGGAATATTATGTAAGAATTATGTAGTTTTATGCATGGAGTAGAAGCATTTAGTAGTCAGGGAACAGGGGGATTAGACAAGAAGATCGTTAATAATTTCTGGAAATAACTACCAGAGTAACTAGTCTCTCATTGTAATAAAACAGACTAGTGTCTTTTCTGACAGATTACAAATAAAGAATTAATTTACAAGCTTTGAGTACTTCCTTACTAAAGACATCATTAGATTCTCTTTCAACAAGCCCTTAAAATTACATTAAAGATAAGTAAAAGAAGAAAAACTCGTAAACATTCTCGAACTCCTTATTTCTATGTTCTTCGCCTCATAACAAGATCAATCGGTTGGAATCTTAATGGATTCTACTTATCAAAGAACCACTAACAATGGAGAAATCAATCACCTTCCTCATAATCACCCCAAAATCAAAACAAAGACTCAAATTGCTTGCCAGATAAAGAACATGAACATCACCTAAAATATCCTTTAAGAATTAGATAAAATTCTACTGTTTGGGAGGAATCCACAACTATTTGCAAATGAATTTCCTTCCTTCTAAGTAGAAGTATTCATTAATTTTGTTTCTTTCATATTATACTTCTACCTCTAACTAAATAGCATGAATAGCACTTTTTATCCCACTGTTTAAGTGAAAGGATCATTCAGATAAATCATGGAAACCCACTGCAAACACTTCACTTTTTGATGCTTCTGTTGAGAGATACCAAACCATAGAAACCCATCTGCTCAAAACATGGCAATATGATCTTTGGTTCCTTTAGTTATTCAGTATCAAAGTTAGGAATACCAAGAAAATGATAGTAGTCAATGATATTGTCTGCTTGTGCTATTGTAAAAGTTACAAAATGATCCAAAATGGTGCAAACATCATCAGTATCTCACACTTTCCTGTCAAAAATCAAGAGAATTATATTAACAAAACCTCATTTATATTATTTCTTTTCAAAGGAATGAGAAATAACGCTATATACTCTGCATGATTGCACGATTAACTCCACTAAAGTCGCAATAAAACTGAAAAACCTTTATGCATAGTCATCAGAATAAAATCGGAACATCACATGAAAGAAAAAGTTTTTTCCCCAACAAATAAGTACTTGTAATGTGAAAGAACACTCACCTTAAATCCTTTTAGCATATCATCATCTCAAATCATCCCTTAATCAATCGTCATCGTCCGAGCTTCCATCATCACTGCTGTAATCACTACTGTCATCATCTGGATCCAAAATATCCAGTTGGACATGCCTAACCTGTATTGTCTCAGGTTGCCTATGCAGCCCTTGAGGTGGAACAGGCTGTAATGGCGGATGTTCCTCAATCCTA